TGTTTTCTGAACAAATACCGAATCAAATAAAGAAATAAAATAAATAATAAATAAACCAACCGTTATCTTTCTCTCTTTGCGCATAAAAAAAATGTTGGCCATTATAATTAGTAAATGGGAGTGCTACTCGGTAGTAATAAGCCCAACTACCAGTGTTTTTTAATTGGCCCACCTTTCCACCTTCTAATAGTTCCACGATAAACCAACCTTTATAATAATTTTGTCCAAAAAAAAATTGCTGTCCAGAAATTTTATATGTAAATTGAGTTGCATGATAATATTGCCATGTACCATGTGATGTTATTTGGCCCACCTTCCCTTCGGGCAAAAGTTCTCGAATAGTCCAGTATTTATCCAGTCGTTGTCCATATAAATAATTTTTATCATCAATAGAATAGATGACAAAAGACCCTATATCTGTGGTCCTTGGTTCTATTACATCTGCTATACTATTAGATATCATAAAATAGTACAAGAAAATATACATTTCTTTATATAGTTTTGTTGGGTTTTAGACTGACTTTATTAGTGCTCTTGTAGTATTTATATGCAATTTTGATAGCGATCTATTGCCTAATATGGTGATATGACTTTCACCTTCTAGTCAAAAACTACATATTATGGAACAAATCAAATTGCGATATTCAATAAGATCCACTGGCAGGGCCTTATTTACCCAAGGGCAAGACTGTGCTTTGCAGAGGAGCACGGATGCTTTGAAATCTGATAAAGAGCGAGTGTTCTGAAATCGTCTGAAAAGCGCTTTCAAACGCTCTTTATGCGCACCCGCATCCCCCGAAGCGATATAGCGAGGATACTGATGGCATTTAACTTCGTAATGAGCTCAGAATTCTCGATCAACTCATAAAAGACAACCAAATTGATCAATTCATTGACATTCTGAATTTTATTTCCCCAATGGGCTCGAAAGTTGAGCCTATCAGTGAATTTTACACAAGGGCGCACAAGCGTCAAAATAAGGCTCTGTTCACTGGTTTTAATTAGGTCAAAAATTCAATTAATCTATTTATGAACCTTTTCCTAAAATTTTCTACCTTCATCTAGCTGCTATAGTTGCGTCATTGAATACAACAGAAAACTTCTACATGTACAATCATAACCGTCATTGCAACTGGAGTCCGTTGCACCAATTAGTTTCAATAATTGTAATCTTGTTTACAATTTCTTGTAAAAATGTTATTCAGAATTCATAGTTTTAGTGTTTCCAAAGATAGTTAAATTTTCTTGTCATCATTTCTTCGCCAGAGGTAGTTTATTTGGATTTCATTATTGAATATTTGCTATCAACAATGTGGTTATTTTCAATTCTTCTTCTATTCAAGACATTTATATTATATCTAAATATTTCTCTGTGCCTCTCGAACAAAATGTTTGATACTAGTTGGGAAAATTGCCGAATCTGTCCAAGTTACGCGAGTCATCCGATTGTGCTTAAATTTGGATTTCTATATCCAGAAAAGCATAATCGCCGACTAAAGTCTTCAATTTTTCATTGATTTTTGAACTGGAGTTAAAAATTTGGTTCGAGAGGTACCCCAATATCTTGTCTAATTGTGTTCAATTTGTTGACGATCTTAAAACCAGTTCTGTGATTCTTTACCTCTTTTTTGCTGTTATAACCCTTGTTGTTTTTTTGTTTTTCGTTGAACAATTCGTCACACGACAGAAAAATGAAAGCATAGTTGCCATCAATGTAGGTAAAGCTCATCGTGTCGATAAATCGTCGAGAAAGTATCGAATCAGCTGAAGAGAATGGTTCCTTGGCCAATAAATATGCCAAATTACATCCAAGCATTGTGTGTGGATTTGAGTGGCGATCCAGCATCCAAGTAATTTCCCGATTTCCCGTGACGAAATTGATGATAAGGATGAAATTGGTTGCGATGCTCAAATTTGGAATGAATCGTCTTAATTTTGTATGGAAAAAATGAACATAAATTGATATAAACACGACGGTTTTCTTAGTACACACTGATTTATCATTCTGTCAAAGTAGACTATGAAATGCAAAAGTATAAAAGCCCATCAAAATAAAATACAGAACTATTTACAACATTCTCAATGTCGTGTTATTCGAACGAAAAGTGTCTTTTCAATTTTCGAAAATTGAACCGTTTCATAAGACAAAAAAAGTTTGCTAAAGCTCAGACTGTTGTGTAATTATTCTTTAATAGTAGTTCCAAAAGTTAGATTGTGAATTGCGAATTTGTGAAATTTTTCGTTTGGCAATAATATTCCTTGGATTATCAAACGAAGAAAAAAATTGAATTTAGAGCCAAAAAGTTGATTGCGCATGCATTTCAAGCACAGTTTTTAGTTTCCACAAAATCAATCAAAATGCATCTTGGGATAATTTCTGTAAAATATACAATCTTCTTTCTCAACTTTTTATTTCTAGTAAGTTTGATGCTCACTTTACAAACTCCAAAATCAATTGAATCATCAACTAAAAAATCACAAATAAACCTGTGCAAATTTCTTATTTGTAGATACTAGGCACTGCGATGATCGTAGTCGGTGACATTGTACAGACGAAAATCGTTCACTATCACGATTTCATTGGTAAAATATGAACAAATTTCTGTTAGATTTTTTTGTGTATCGGTACTTTACCTATAATTCAATTACAGATTACTTTACAGCATCGTATCCCACTTTGTTGACTGTGACCGGGTTTTTTGTAATTTTCATCGCATTTTTGGGCTTTTTTGGAGCTATTAAAGAAAGCACTTCTATGATTTTTTGCGTGAGCATATTCCGTTATACATATATGTTGAGAACCCGTTTTTTTTACGAGAAATTCGTTTGATTTTCTTTTACAGTACACCATCATCGTGATCTTCACCGTTGCGTTCGAACTCGGTACTACTGAAGCTGCGTATGTGAAAAGAAAATGCGCTTTGATGAAAATTGTTGACAAAAAACTTAACGAAAAACTGGGCAAATACCCTGAAAACCCTTCATTTAATGCTACCTGGCATTTACTTCAAACTGAGGTACATTCGCCAGAGAATTGCTCATTTTTGACATATCGAATGAATTTCATCGGTTTTCTTTCATAGTTGAAATGTTGCGGTATCAACGGACCAGAAGATTGGGATGGCGTTTTGCCAGAAAATACGCTTCCAGGTTCGTGTTGTCAGAAGGGGCAAGGAGATGAATGCTCAAAGTTTGACCCATCGGTGTTAAAAGATGGCTGCAAGACCAAATTTCTCGATTACTTGCGATCATATTTGGTCGCAGTTGTTGGCGTCGGCATCGGAGCAATAGTGGTACAGGTATGCATAATGTGTATTGTTGATGAATTTGCATCAAATATATGGCAATATATGGCAATATTTGAACCTTGCAAAGAGAGAGAGCCCGACGAGAAATTTGCGGTAAAATAGGTGTACGTCGACTATCCGTCGCATATCCGTTTTTGAGTGCGGATACTCGCAATGCGAATAGGTATCCACAATAAAAGTTGCCGCAAGATCTAATCGCTGAATACCCTGCGACTATTCGCGCTGCGATAAATGTGAAGTTGTAACTGGATCGAGTGTGACATTTCGACTTGAAACTTCGTACAACCAACGTGAAGTTGGCTGTGTTCGACGGACTTTTTCGTATTGCGACTATACGTAGAATAGTCGCAATGCGATATTCCGCAAATTTCTCGTCGGGGAGAGAGAGAGAGAGAGAGAGAGAGAGAGAGAGAGAGAGAGAGAAAACTAACATTGCCATATTCGGAAATCCCAAAAAGTATATTCTTTATTAAAATGTTGATTTCAATTCACCCATAGCTATTGGCCATTGTATGCTCCTGTTACTTGTATTCCGCTTACAATAAAGATGTTCGCCATTAAACAAACAAAAGCTAAAATGGATCACTACCAGGATGGCTAACACCATCACGCAACGGTGAAGATCACGATGATGGTGTACTGTAACACCATCACGAACCTGGAACTCACTGACTACTCTTAAATTATGAAATGGATTATTTGCCTAATGAAAACAATTCTCAAACAAATACCTAAAAAATGTGCAAAGTGTATAATTTGAAAATATCACAAATTGACCCGATTACTTTTTCATTTACGGTAAGTGTACAGAATTGATTATGATTGATTGTTTTCATATGGAATATTTTCGTGATGTCTTCATTATTTTCAACATTTCGATTTGATTAGCCTGGCAAGAAACCTAAAATCATTGCTTAGATCAAAAGTTGACCAAAGAATTTAAGCCGGCCATAACGTGATTCAAAGCCAAGCATACTTCGACCACTTGAATCCTCCAAATTTTCACGAAAAACTTCCATTTGTTTTGTCATCTGTTCAAATTGAGAATCTTGTATTTCAGTGCCTTTGTCTTTAAACTTTCCCGCCTCTAGCTTCTGTTTATGCACGGCACCAATTCCCGCTTTTCGTCGCATTTTGAGTTCTTTGTATTTTATTGCATTATAATGAAAGAAAAATTTGATACAATTTTTGTTTCAATATTCCCTCAATGTTTACTGGCGACTTTGACTTGAGTCACTGCTGTGTTGACAATTCAAACCTTGTCAAAGATATCACCAGGCGGCGCTATGCGGCTTTTGTTGAAGTGTCAACTAGCAGCATTTATATATGAAAGTGTTTCGCTTCGTCTTGTCGAAAAAGAAAGAGAATTAAACCGACATTGAAAATTAATTCATTGGTCTAAACAAATTGGAAAATCGATATTTTTATTCGTGGTTCGATTGTTGGTGCTAAGAAAATTGTGTCCAGTGCATGTATGTTGTTAATTTTATGTTGAAAATCTATTGTTTTACAATGGGCGCTTAACCATTGAATGTTCGAGGTTAAGAGTGAACTGGTGTAAACAAAATCCAATAAACGTTTGCTTTTCATGGACATTCATTCACAGAAAGCAGCGACGGATCTCTTGAATATTGGTGGGAAATTGAGAAGGCTGCAACATGTATTCAGATCTCCATGATGAATTTGGCAATTACATTGGCCCACATTTAGAGAGTGATAATGATGACGATCAGAGTGCGAAGAGCCAATTCGAAATGTTGAATTTAAGATTTTGGATGCAGTTATTGCAAATGAACCGCTGAATCGAGGTGGTGGTCGAATCATTCTAACCGCTCGTTGTGTTGCCTACTCAGCATTTTTGATGGCAAAACCTCGATTAATGGAACCATATAATTTTGTCGAAGTACAAGCATCGGGCGATTGTGTTTCAGCCGTTTATACAGTGCTGGCACGTCGCAGAGGTCATATGACACAGGATTTACTCATTATCTTGTCACAATCAAAGCATATTCATTCCTGCCATCGATTCATTCGGATTTGAAATGGATATCCGAACACACACCAAAGGACAACCATTCTGTTCGTCCGTATTCGATCATTGGCAGGTGAATTATATATAAACGATACCATTATACCCATAGATTATCCAAAATGAAATAGCAAATCTAATGTTATTACTGTTTTGTTTTGTTTTGTTTAGTTCCCGGTGATCCACTGAACAAGGGCATCATAATTCGACCACTCGAACCACAGCCAGCCACACATTTGAAACGAGAGATACGATTAAGACACGACGACGAAAAGGTTTATCAGAAGATGTGTCAATAAAGAAGGTGTGATCAATAAATTCTTCGACGATCCTATGTTCCTTGAGTTGGCCAGACCAGACGTTCTACTCAATTATCCATTATAATATGTTTAATATTCTTCAACTTTCAATTTGAGAATAAATTTCAATTTGGTTAATATACATCAATACAATCAAACAATATTTGAGTAATGTTGGATACTAGCGTTGTTTCTCAACTGGAATTTTTGTGAATACTGAGATCGATTTAGTCAAAACATCAAACGCTCTGCGCTGCAGACACTCTTTCATTTCAATGTGTTACATTGCCCAATACAAATTTCCATAAACGATCGAGCAATGAATTCAAATGACACGAAAACGGCAGTAAACTTTGCAATAGTTTTCTTTATTTTCAGTTAAAACTGTTCTTTCTATGCGACATAAATCTGTTATTCGGAAAAAAATTCGTTTGAAAATATCCAAACCAATGGTTTCGGTGTGTTTTTGTGTTAGTTTGAGAACAGCTGGATTGATACTGGGATGGTTTTGTGTGATCTTTGGATTCATATCGGTGCATATAATCGGTCTTCTGATAGGTATTTCTTCTATAAAATGTAAGACTATCCCACATGATGATTCATTTGAAAATAATAAAATTTTAGCGATTGGGCCGCCCTCACTCTTGATGATTCTGGATTTGATCAAAATGTGTAAGTTCGTTCAGAAGTGTCTTCATTCAATTCCATATTTTCAATAAAATTAGGTCTTTTGGAATAAAAATTAAGCAGATACTTTACATGCATTTACAATAAATATTATCTATCCTCTCACCCATTAGTATTGACTGCGAATTTCTATGCCCCATGGCTTGTTGGCATATACACCGTACGTAAATATTTTACGATGACAAAATAAGAAAACGTTTTAATGAATTGTTTTTCAACTGTATTTTCGATAGGAAGACCCAGTATTTTTGTTACCAGCTCTATTCTGGTCACCCACATACATTATCCTTGAAATCACCTCTTTGGTCATCTTATCTAGTTGCCAAGATCAAGACATCCTGAGTGTACTTCATTTCAATACAGATATACAAAGCTTCATATCTTCGATTGGCATTGGTTCGTATACATACACACAACTCATGCTTTATTTGATCGCAATTTATAATTGGTTTTACAATTTTTTTCAGCTATTTTCATGTGTATTTTCTGTTTTCAATATTCTCTCTACGTATCCATAAAGCAGATGGCCATGGTTGACAATTTTCTACGCAATCATTAACTCTACTGAAGCACAAGCTACTGTTCGTAAAAGATGATTAATAAAATCATTGAGCCCAACGGATTGTCGATATCAAAACCATTCCTCGGATTTCTGTTACTCCGGAATTAATAAATATGGCATTTGATCTTATAGATTTGCATTTCAATATTTCACAATAAAATCGTCAACTTTTACATTTACTTGAGAGTACTCTATTAATAGTAATTATTACACGAGAAAATACAAATCCAGCTAAATAAAATATTAAGTTGTAGGACATGCTAGAAGCACCGAAAATAAAGGATAAGTAAATTGGTTGTATATACTAGAACTCCGTTTGCACAAGCATTTTTTCTGGCTCTGCAAAACACAGTTCAGTCGAGCGTTGGCTTGTTGTGGCTAGCTTATGTTTGTTGATTTTGTTGTTTGAATCGAATAAATAAAAAAAAACCATCATAAGTTCGCCGAATATTAATAATACTGGGTTTGAAATTATTATAATGTAAATGTCTCGGAAGAGTATTGAAAATAACCACATTGTAACTAGCAAATCTTTAATAATGAATTTCAAATAAACTACCTCTGGTGGAGAAGTAATTACAAGAAAATTCAACTATCTTTGGAAACATTAAAACTTTGTTCTGAATTACATTTTTACAATAAATTGTAAACAAGATTACAATTATTGAAACTAATCGGTGCAACGGACTCTGGTTGCAACGACAGTATTTTTGATACTTTGTATGTACAATATAAATTTTAACCTAATAAAAACCAGTGGATCTAATTGAATATAGTAGTGTGATTTGTTCCGCAATATGTAGTTTTCGAGGCTGTAACAATTGTAATTTAAAAAAAATATTTTTCATTTAATTGGATATTTGTGCTTTGGGAAAGATTAAAGTGATTCGAAGGAACAAATTATTCACAAAAAGACTCAACATTGCATGACAGGGAACAAGTCGTAGTGCAGAAATCGTTTGGTAAATCTGCAATTCAGAACGGACCAGCTGATCAAGAGTTCTCATAATTTTTCCTTATTTCTTCTTTGCGTTGGTTACGTTAATCTTGGAATTTGACGTCTTAATACCAATTTTTGTTTTCAGTCACTAGTAATATCAGGCCCATAGCCAGGATTGAAGTTATGGACTAGCTCTATCAATTTTTAGGTACATGTCATCAGCACCGCCCGGAAATAGTGCTGGTAAACCAGAACATGTAAAAAATAGTGCTCGAATAGTGCTGGCGAATGGCGTTTTCAGATTGCAAAAATATTATCTGGTGGCCGAGCACTATTCGTCGAAATTTGAAAATAATCGATTTTTCGGTACATTTCCATGGCAAGTGTCCGAAATCGATTTTTTCGTATGATTACTGGCTCTATGACTCCTGTTCCGAAAAGTGAAACAGTATAGTACACTTGAGTCATGAAGGGAGTCACAATACGAGTCATAATCGGAGTCATTCATTTGTCCAAAGTGATTCAAACTTGATGTGACTCACTCTTCATGAGTCGTAAGAAACGAGTTAGATTCTGACTCCATTTTGAAGGCAATGAGTCAGTCGAGTCAATGAATCAGAATTGATACATTGAACGTTCGGAAATCTTAATCGTTTAAAGAACTTAAGCTATTTTCCAAAAACAAATTACACAAGATTTCTGAACGTTCATTGTATAACTCATTGATTACATGAGTGTGCCAGAAAGTCATAACTTTCTGTTTCACGCACCAATACTGTATGTAGATTTTTGATGATTTCTGTCGAATTTCTGCTCGTCACTGCATCCTGGTGCGAACAGAATTTTGAGGAAAATTGGAGAAGACTGATTTCCTAGAGAAAACTATCAATTGTAATTTTTTTCAAGTCGATTCATGATTTTAGTTATTTGTGATGTTTTGTTAGTTTTTATTGATAAAAATATAATCAATGGGCACAGTAACACCAGATACCATAATACTAAACGCATCCACTCCCATTAAGACTTTATGTAATTTTTTTCGCGCGGAATTTAAAAACAATGAAAAATGAATGGGTATGTTTAGTCTTATGCTCTATACAAGTGATGGTCGTTCCACATGAAACTAGATGAAATAGGTTGATTCTGACAGGAAATGAACCCATTCAATTCCTCGAATCGAGAAAATCTTTTGACCATACACACCATATGACATTCAAATATATGGCCAAACGGATTTCCCGATTCGAGCAATTGAATGGGATCATTTCCTGTCAGAATCTACCTATTTCATCCAATTTCCATGAGCCATTGCTTAGTTTTGATATCAATACCACCACGATCAACTTGCATGATGTTCCATACTCACCAACGACATTCAAATATATGGCCAAACGGATTTCCCGATTCGAGCAATTGAATGGGATCATTTCCTGTCAGAATCTACCTATTTCATCCGATTTCCATGAGCCATTGCTTAGTTTTGATATCAACACCACCGCGATCAACTTGCATGATGTTCCATACTCTCCAACGACATTCAAATATATGGCCAAACGGATTTCCCGATTCGAGCAATTGAATGGGATCATTTTCTGTCAGAATCAACCTATTCCATCCAATTTCCATGAGCCATTGCTTAGTTTTGATATCAACACCACCGCGATCAACTTGCATGATGTTCCATACTCTCCAACGACATTCAAATATATGGCCAAACGGATTTCCCGATTCGAGCAATTGAATGGGATCATTTTCTGTCAGAATCAACCTATTCCATCCAATTTCCATGAGCCATTGCTTAGTTTTGATATCAATACCACCACTGTCTCAGCTCAGTCAAACCTTCTTGAAATGAAACGATTCAATGTGC